GTTAATCAAGTAGATGTAGAGGTTCATAAAAACTTTTTTATATACTCGCAATTTTAGTTAATAATTCTTAAAGCACAAAATTTATAATTTTGACTCTGGTAATATTATTAGTTTTTTGAATTTAAACTATTACGTAAAAATACTCCGAGTGTACGTTTATCTGAAAATGTCTTCGATTTATCCAAAACTCCATCACATTCCAATTTACTTGTTGTCTCTAATCTTTATGGATATTTTGTTGCTGCATCAAATAAAGGTTAAAAATGGTTTTTAAATAATAACAAAAGAACTTCTTTTCTTCTTTCTTCATATATTAACCTTGGCTTGTTTTCCATCATATTAAAAAGGATTTTTTTACGCGTATACAAAAGACCTTCGTGCGAAGTTTGTGAATTCTGAAACTTCTGATGAATTAAAAATTAATTTTGATCAAAAGATTCATGTTGATATTTTAGAAGGTTGTGTGATTTCTTTAAGACTTTCCTCTGATCAGCTAACAATTATAGTCGCTATACAAGGTGGTATAGTATTATACTATGATGTGACAAAAATTGGAGTGGAGGTCAGTTTTTTTCAATTTGTTTTTAAATGAATCTTTACATGATATGCGTAATTGTTAATTTAAGGTTATTCTAATTAAAATATATATTGATGCAAATAATAAATGATATTGGTATTTAGCAATCTTCTATTCAACCATATCAAATAATGAAATTCTCGGATGAGATTAAAGATATTCGCCCAAATTTAGGAGAAAGATTCAACATTGTTGCTATTTTACTTGTATCTGGTATTGTGCATATTTATGATTATTTAAAAAATGAGCAAATTGGAATCATAGATAATATTAAATTAGGAGATCAAGTTACTGCTCGTAAGTTACCATTATTCATTATTATTATTATAATATTAACTATATCATTTAGTATCATTATTTAACAAATACTTTCTTTTGACTATTTTTTTTTTAAAGTTTGTTGGTCTCCAAAAGGGAAACAATTAGTATGTGGCACACAAACTGGGAAACTAATGCAACATTTACCTGAAGGAATAGTGAAGTCTTCAATACAGCCACCAAAGCAATTAATTCAACCTTCATATTATGGTAAGTGAATTTTTTAATATCATCCATATTTGAAAACTTTCTTTATTATAACTATTAGAAAAAATATTGATGGAGTTAAATATTATCTAAATATTAACATTTCTATTCATATTCGTATATACACATATAACTAGTTCAGAATATATTATGGTTAGACACTCCAACATTTATAGTAGCTTATTTTCCAGTGGTACAAGATGAAAATTCAGATCTTGAAAATTATATAGTATTTTGCGATTCAAAGAAAAAAACTGTATATCAACATATTAAAGATTTGTGTCCATATAGTACTGATGAGAGAAACCCTAATCTTTACATGGAAACAATCAGAAATTGGTAAAAATTATTGTGACCGCGGATTTGTTGTTATAATATCCTATCATTTTATATCTTTATCTTTATATACTTATATTATAGGGGCCCTAGATCAAAGAATCTTGTTATTTGTGCAAACGCTAATTCAATCAATGTACATGTGATTACATGCGATGAATCAAATGAATGGTTGTATTGGTATTTGCCTGAAGGATCCGATGCATCACTACCTCTTGGTGATGATGATAATGACACCCTCCCTATTGGAATGGCAATTGATTTCACCGATACTGATACTTGGATCACTCAAACACCTAGTGAAGATAGAGTTGAAATACCATCAGTTCCTATTGTTTATATTTTAAACAACGCCTCCGACATATTAGCATATAGATGTTTCCATAGAGACGCTTTTGAATCAGGGTTTAATTGTTCAGATATGATAACCCCTCAACCACTACCAACTAGAGGTCACTCCTACGGGCTGCCTCCTCCCAACACAGACCTATTGCTAACGAATAAAACTATTCCAGGAGATACTGTCGCCCCCTCTTCCTCCTCTTCCTCCTCAACTTCTAAATTTGATTTTAAGAATATCATCATCCCAAACGATGATGATGATGGTGGTGGTGGTGGTGGTGGTGGTGATGATGGTGATGGTGATGGTGATGATGTTAACAACAACGACAATAACAATATAGCAACTACGTTAACAAACAAAATAGTCCCTTCAATTTCCCCAGAATCACCACCAGTAATACCATCACCTATCAACATCAACAGTAACATCAGCAGCATCATCAACAGCAACAGCGATAGCAACAGCAATAGCACCATCAACAGCAACAGCAACAGCACCATCAACAGCATCATCAACAGCACCATCAACGGGAACAGCATCATCAACAACATCAACAGCAATAGCATCATTAGCAGCATCATCAACATCAACAGTAACATCAACAGTAACATCAACATCAACAGCAACATCAACATCAACAGCAGCAACAACATCAACAGCAGCAACAACATCAACAGCAACAGCAATAACTTCAAACAAAAAGAGAAGGAAATTTCAAACGCTGAATGCGTTTATGCAATGAAAAGCTCAATAGAAGAGGTTTTTTTTTTAATTATATATAATTATTGGTTTCTATTTTTTGGAGGTTTGAGTATTAAAAATTGTTGTTCCATTCACGTCATCTCTATATATAACATATACAGTTTAAACATCTAATAGATGATATAGATAATGTTCACATTTCGAAATATAGTGTCGATGCAAACAATCAATATTTAGGCGACGACTCAAATACAATAACTATTCAGGCATTCAAACATTTGTCGTTGGAAACAAGACGATCGAATGATCAGGCTGATGAATTAATAGATGAAACATCAAATATTACATCCAAATTAAACGATGTTTATAAAAATATTACTCAAAGTATTTACAAGTACATATATTATATTATATATTTTTTTTGGGTTGAAATTATTCTGACTAATAATTATAATAATAATTTTTTTTAAAAAAAATTATGTATGTAAGCTGAAGCTCATATTAAAAAAGATATACAAATAATAGAAAAACATGAAGAAAATCAAACTTGTGATTCCTTAAAAAGGCTTGGATCAATAGGAAAAAATGTTAAGGAGAAAATTGAAAAGTCTTATCAAGTATTTAATTAATAGGATACATCATATCTAATTTCATTTTATTGTAATTTTTTTAATAATGATTTTTATTATTATTATTTGTAGAATACTAAAGAGACTGCTTTGGCATTAGAAGTACAGTTAAATGAATTATATGACCAAATTCAAGAGAAAAAATCTAATAGATTATTAAGGTGATTATTATTATGATTAATTAAATCAGATTATTTATTATTTGGTTATTTACTAATCAGCATATAATTGTTAAAGAGAATCTCCTTTAGAATATATTGATCGTTCAGTTTCTAATATCAGTAAATGCTTATATCGAAATTCATCTCAGATGGATTATTTGATTGAACAATTAGATGCGCTCACTCTACAGAAAACCCAATCTGAGAAAAAAATTGTAAAAGAGCCGTCGTCGACCTCAAAAAAAACTTCAACACATAAAAATATTGAACAAATCAAATCGTCATACAAGTTAAATGATAATCTTTCTTATTCAGATGAAGCAGCCAAGATAGCAACAGATTATTTCAATAAGGAACATGCCTTCAACAAATTGAAAGATGTAAATAAATTCAAAAGAAAAAACCCAGTCAATAATTTATTCGATCCTGAAATGAGTCTTGGTAATTATTAATTTTATTTGTTTATTTGCTCATTTATCTTATTTAACTTGACCTTATTTGATTTATTATTATTCATGTATTTCATTATTAAAGAATTACCTAGTTCTATAATTATTCCAAAAAGATTAGTTGCACAAGAACCAGAATTTTTTTATGGTAATGATGGTGATGACGGTGACAACGATTATGAAGAAGACGATGATGATGAGGATGGTGAGGATGGTGAGGACGATGGTGAAGACGATGAAGACGATGACGACGAAGACGATGACGACGACGATGATGATGATGGCGAATATGAATATCATTCTGAGAATGAATATGAATCAGACATAGAAGACACAATCACCAACAAAAATATTGAAACTTTAAAAGAAATAAAGAAATCAACAACAATATTAGGCGTAGTAGAGGAAGATGCTCCCAGAGCCGATGAAGATGAAAAAGATAGAAAAGATGAGGAAGATGTTGTATTTGAAGCTGCATTAATATCATCATTATCTTTCGCTCAACCAACTTCTCAGCCTGCATCATCATCTGCATTAATATCATCACCTTTCGCTCAACCAACTTCTCAGCCTGCATCATTATCTGCATTAATATCATCACCTTTCGCTCAACCAACTTCTGAGCCTGCATCATCATCTGCACTAACATCATCACCTTTCACCCAATCAACTTCTCAGCCTGCATCATCACCTGCATTAATATCATCACCTTTCGCTCAATCAACTTCTCAGCCTGCATCATCATCTACATTAACATCATCTCCTTTCTCTCAATCAACTTCTCAGCCTGCATCATCATCTGTATTTGGGCAATCTGCGTTTTCACAACCTGCGTTTGGGCAACCTGCGTTTGGTCAACCTGCGTTTGGGCAACCTGCGTTTGGTCAACCTGCGTTTGGGCAACCTGCGTTTGGTCAACCTGCGTTTGGTCAACCTGCATTTGGTCAACCTGCATTTGGGCAACCTGCGTTTGGTCAACCTGGTTTTGGTTCTTCGTCTCTTGGTTTAAATACTGCACCTTTAAAAACACCGAGTAGCGGTGGATTTGCTCGATACACAAAGTAAGCAATTTTTTTTTATTATCACTTTTAATTTATTTTAAATTTTTTAATGATTTTTACTTTTGTATTTACAGTGCCGGTGGCTTTGGAACTGCTAATAATAATAATAATGTGCTCGGTGGATCATTTGGCACTGACAATTCGTCACCAGGGTTCGTTGATTTAGTTTTAATTTAGAATTACTGATAATAAAAATTGTATATAAATTATTAACATTTTTAAAAAAAAAAATTATAATAGATTTAGCAGTAATCAATTTAATCAGATGCGTAAATAATTAAAAATTAAATAAAGCAAGGAATAAAAGATTTTAGGTGATTAAGTGTTATATTGTAAATTGAGTTTTTTAATTTCAAAAAATTAACTTTTTTTCCTTTCTAAAAATTAATTATGTAATGAGATACTAATACTAATAAAAACATGTAAAATCAATTAATCATGGCTTATTGATTGGAAATAAACATAATTTAGTCACGATTATCAAGAAATGTGATATATTCAATGTGATAATTTCAAACAATTTTTTGTTGTTGGTAACACGTATTGTGCATGAAAAGCTTAAAAAAAAAACTTTTTTTTAAATAAAATTATATAAAAGGTAAGAGTGTGTGAGACTTAAAGATTGACCCACCAATACCCTTCGAGATTGATCATAATAATTTCACCAAGATAATTATTATAGAATTTCATCTGGCCTTTTTTTTTTTTAAAGAATAATTATTTTTTTTTTCAAGAACCCTTAACGTTTCTTCAGGTACTTTATAAAAAACAAGAAACTTCATTTTGGGGTATATATATATATATATATATTATATAACGAATATATATATATTAGTTTATTAGTTAGATTATTTCTTTATTGACTAGTTTAGAAAGAAACGAGTATCCAATAGTTAATTATTTTATATATATATATATATAATATTCATTTATTATTATTATTAACGGTCTTTATAAAAAATTAATTTTTATTAAAAAACATTTGTTTTCTTTGTTTCTCTTTTTTTTTATCGTTACTTGAAACTTTATGGTGTCATCCCATTCTCACGGACCTGGTACTCAAAGTTACAGTCTAAATTCTACCATGAAACGCAGTAACGATTATGGAAATCAAAGTCATGATAATATTAAAAAACCACGTTTTGGTCAAAGCTATAATAGCGGTTATTCTTTAACAGGAGGTATGATGAAACAGAACAGTTAAAATAAATAAAATATACATATAAATTAATAAATTTCTATTAAATATTTCTAAATATGTAAAAAATTATTTATATATATATATTTATTATTAGCAGCAATGATGATGGCCACACCTTCTTATTCTCAAGGTACAGCAGGTTATCATCCTGTAGGTGGTCACTTTGCCAGTATGGGTGGTTATCATCAAGCAGCTTCACAATATGCTACAGCTATGAACCAATATAATACTACTAGCGTTAGTAGTATGGTTCCCCAGTTTACTGGGGCCTTCTCAACAAGTCAATTCCCAAGTTCTTATCAACAAACTGCTGTTAATAGTTCTGCTACAAATGCTACTGGTCGTACTGTATATCTTGGAAACGTACCAGCAGACACACAAATGGATGAAATTATAAATCATATTAAGATTGGTCCAATAGAATCTATTAGAGTTTTTCCAGATAAAAATTGTACATTTATTTCTTTCATGGATGGCGCAGCTGCTATGGCATTTTACCAAGAAGCAACTAATCGTAAAATTATGATTCACAATCAAGAACTTAAAGTTGGTTGGGGTAAGCCTTCACCTATACCAGTTAATGTTCAAGTCGCTGTTAGCACACAAAATGCTTCACGCAATGTTTATCTAGGAAATTTGGACGACACATTTACCGAGTCTATCTTACGTGAAGACTTGGGTAAATTTGGAACCATCGACACAGTGAAAATTGTCAAAGACAAAAATATTGGATTTGTTCATTTCTTGAGTATTGCAAGTGCTATGAAGGCAGTTCAATCGTTACCGACAGATCCTAAATATGCGAACAAAAAAGTAAATTATGGTAAAGATAGATGTGTTCAAAAAAACATGCAAAATGGCAACACTGCTACTCAATATTCATCGTTTCCAGGAGCTTCTATGAATTTCCAAGGTTTTGCAGGTGCGACAGCAATAGGTTATGGTGGATCAGCTTTTGACCCTTATCATACTGGTATGGCAACTGGAAGCAGTCAAATGGAAAATGGAACGGAAATGCGTAGCCCAACCAGTCCACTTTTCTCGTCTGCTTCGTCCGCTACAGGTAGCGCCAATTCTAGCTCCAATGTTGGAAATCGTACAATCTATCTTGGTAATATTCATCCCGATACTACATGTGAAGAAATTTGCAATGTTATTCGTGGCGGTATTCTTCAACAAATCAGATATATGCCAGAAAAACATATAGCATTTATCACTTTTATTGATCCAAATTCTGCCAGTAGTTTTATGTATTTAGCACAACAAGTAGGTGTGGTGATCAAGAATAGAAGACTTAAGATTGGTTGGGGGAAAAATTTGGGACCGTTACCTGGTCACATTCAAATAGCAGTAACAACTCAAAGTGCTTCTCGTAATGTTTATGTTGGGCAAATTGATGAGAATATGACCGAAGAAAAGCTTCGTAGAGATTTTCAAGAATATGGTGAGATAGAATTGGTCAATATTCTCAAAGAAAAAAATTGTGGATTCATCAACTTTACTTCCATTGCTTCAGCCATCAAAGCAATTGAAGGCATTAAAAGCAAAGACGAGTACAAAAAATATCGCATCAATTATGGAAAAGACCGTTGTGGTAATCCACCAAGAGGAATTACAATGAATAATATGGGTATTTCAAGTGGCAAGACTAAAGGACGTAATAATGGTGAATCTGATGCTAGGGTTCTTCACGCAGGTGATAATTCTGAATCAGGAAATATTGATGGAGTAGAAGATGACGTTCTAGAAGGTGAAGAAGAATAAAAAAAGGATTGTTATTAAAGAATGAATTTCATATAATTAATATATCCACTTCCTTGACCGCTTCCTTGACCACTTCTTTGTTACTTTTCTCCTTCCTACGTACACACACCTTTCTTATTTACTTTATTACTCTCTTATAACGCTAGCATAATTTTATAATTGGGGATATTTTTTCATTTATTATATTTAAACATTATTTTATGGGGATGGATTGCAACTTGCTTGGTAAGAAACTAGAATATTTTTTTATGATTTAAATTTTACTTTTTTTTTTTTAATGTAGCAAAAAAAGGCCTTATTTTTATTTTTATCTGTTTTTTCTTTGCATTATATATTATATTCTTTTTTAATTTGTTTTTTTTTTATCATATTTATAAAAAAAAATTTAATTAATTATCCTTGAATTTTATTTTGAATTTTTGAATTTTGGGGTTTTTTGGATTTATATTTTTGTTGATTTAAATGTGGTTGACTATATTATTAATTAATAATTTGAATTATCTTTTTTTTTGAATGAGTTCTTTGATACTTTCCTTCTTTTCACAAATCAATTACAACACATATATACAACATACATACATACACACACATATATTTTTATATTATATAGTATCATTATCATAGATATTATTATTTTTTCATTATAATTAATCATTTGCCTTTTAATTTCTTTTCATTTCTTTGAGAAGAAAACAAAAAAATTTCTTTTATTTTTAAAAATTTTTTTTTAGTATAAATCCTCTTTCTTGTATCTAATTGTTGTCTTACCCTAATTTTTTTTTTAAATAAAAAATTCCTTTCTTTTATAAATGTATTTTCTTTTTTAAAAAAATCCTTGATGGTTCTATTATATATATTTTCTTTTTTGTTTTTGAACACTTTATTTTTCTTTTTTTTTGATATATTTTTATACAATACTTGTCATTTAGAATAATATTAGTGATATTATTATTATTATTATTAACATATTATTAAAAATCAAGAAATAATTATTATATAAAAAAAAATTAATTTTTTTAAGCCAATCTTTTATTTTTATTTCAATTTCATTAATTGGCTTTAACAATTATATACTTATCATCATCATCATCATCATCATCACCATTACCACCACCATTATCATCATTTATTTTATTTATAATCTTTTACTTATAATTTATTCTTTTGATAATTTTAAAATTTTATTTTATTTTTGGGATCTTCCTTGACTTTTCACTTTTCTCATTCATCCTTCTCACTCATATATTCTATATCTTGTGCCCACTTACTGCTAATTAAAAATTGTTGAGAGAGAGAAATTTTTTTTTATTTTTGTCCAAAGAGCTTCCTCATATATATTATATCAGAGATATTTGTTGTTACTTATTTGAAATAATCAGTATAAAATGTTTTTTAAATATTCATATCTATATTTCTATTTTTTTTTCTTCCTACTTCAATGCTTTATAATCAATTCTACTTACCAAATAATTATATTTGATCTTTTTTTCCTTTGAAGAAATGTAATTTATAAATAATAATTGAATTTTTTTTTCCTCAAAAAAAAATTTTTTTGTAGCCTTTTCTCTTTTAATTCAAAATCCCTTACTCCCCCCACACAATTCTCTTTTTTAAATAACACACATTAATTTATATATTTCACATATTTCATATATACACACATATATATATCACAGTTTTAAAACATATATTCGATTTTATTTAACTGGAAATTGCAGATTTCTCTATTTGGATTCTTAAGAAAGGTAAGTGGAATATTTATTAAAAATTTATTAGATAATCTATTATTACATTCCAAATTTTTTTAGGATTTAATGAAGTTGTTGATGATGACAACCAAGTAAACGACAAGAATAGAATTCTTGAAAAACAATTAGTGGTCTCTATATTTTTGTATTATGTAATATCATATCAGCAGATTTGTGAAGAAGAGATAATAGAGAGTTTGGATAGAAGGTGTTGAAAGGAAAATTTATAATGGTGTGCTCTTATCGTCTGGAGGGGTTTGAAAGGATCAATAGAATCATGATCTTTACTAATATTGTTAGTTACTATTGTTAACATAATTATTATTAGCTTTTGTAGAATGGATAATAATTTAAAATGGTAATTGATGGCTTAATATAATGTAAGAAAAGGTTTTCTTTTACATTGATTTTTTTTTATTTGTTTGTAATGGATTCCATATAATAATATTCGATGGTAAAATTTTGACGGTACAATTAATTATTTATTTAATATATATAAAAAAAAAAAAATGTCACAATGAATAATCTCTAAATGTTTCTTTCCTACATTTTTTATGACCTTTTATTCATTACGTGTGCCTGTATTTGTTTTTTTCTCTGCGTCTTTAAACGAACAAACACCATGGGATTGATTGATGCATTAGGATTTTTAGATATTTTATTATACAATCACACCCTTTCAAATTTTTTTCATTGCTCTCAAGTATGTGTTGTAACACGATGCCACCCAAGTTGTCTTTAAATATTACTTGTTAGAAGAGTTAATGCTACTACAACATTAACATTGCTAATACTAAGAATATATATATGAAGAAATCCATTATTTGTACCACCATGATTCATAATAGGAATTTTTAGATGGATATAGATGGTAAAACTAAACACATAAAAATTACTGTTCAGGAAAGATGGTTTAGGTGTAGGTACAGAATATAATTCGTTGGAAAATGCAAGTATTTTTGATCAGTTGTTAAAAGGATCTGTTTAAGAGTAAGGGCGAAGGTGAAAGGTGAGGAGGATAATGCTAATTTGGGTGATTAATAATTCATCTGATGAAAATATTTATTTCATGTATCTAATGCAAGTAATTAAATTTCTTTCTAAAAATACAAAATTATAATTATAATTATTATTCATTCATTCATTTATGTAGCAACGAACAAAGTTTCATAAGAGTAAATAAGCGCTTAATCAAGATGGTCCACATACAAATGAAATCTTTGGAATGAAAATTAATCACAACAACAATAACAACAGTGGTGGTGATGGTGATGATGATAATGATGATAATACCTATTGTTAATTCAGAAAGTGAATCAGATATTGATAAAGATAAATTTAAAGAAAATGAGTATGTTGTGTAAATAAATTAAATTGAGAGCAGTGGTTTAGGCAACACATTCTTAAAATAAATAAATGTGTTGAAAGTTGGATATTTTTTAAGATATGAAATTAAAGCAAGTGTAAAGTCAAGACAAAGTCTTATCAAATAGAAGGATAACCTGTTCCAAGAAACATATAGGTTACTTGCAGATGCCAAAAAACAATATAACATTTATTTACCTAGCAATATAGTATAGTATTGCAACATTCTGAATTGCCGCACCAAAATGAATTTTACTATTACCGCTAATTAAATATTCCGAGATCCTTTCGTTAGTTGTTCAATTTCATTATAGAGCAAGTACTTTGGTGACACGAAATGAATTCAATGAAATGAGTAAAAAATGAGACTCATCTTGTAAGAGCTCAAAAGAGAAATAGCAAGTCTTTGGAGTAATTACAATATATGTGATATCTCAATATCCGATGCCTTCTAACAAATAAGTGGGGTGTTTGCGAAATCCTTTTCATTAAAAATTGGATATTGTCAAAAAAAATTTTATCGAGTAGTGAAACAAAAAGTAGAAATTGTATAATCTCGAAAATTCCCATTTTTGTATTCACGAAAAAAATTTTCCTTAATATATAATGTCCAAAAAACCCATTCCATATAATTGGTCTAATGATGTTACTTATCTTTATTACAACGATTACATTTCGACTTCTTTAAAACCATCGCCATATGATGTGTCTTTGATCAAAACTCATCCTATTCATCCATTCACAGCTTCTTCATTACTTCCAGTAGCAATAACACCAAATTTACCAAATCCTTTGGTTAAAATAAAATATTTAAAAGATCAAAAGGATCATCCAGCCTATCCAGGTAATGGATTATTTGCAACAAAAGACTTAAAAGAATCAACCTTAATCATAAGCTATAATGGTAAAGTAATGCCCAGAGAGGGGTTTGATGATTCAAATAATAATTATGTATTATGTTTTATTAATAAGTTGTGTATTGATGGATTTAAACAAGGTTTAATTTAAATTTTTTTTTTTGTTTATACAATGATGTGGTTTTTATTTTATAATATTATTTGTTAATTAATCTTTCTTTGTAATGTTTTAGGTAATGAAGCAAGATTTATAAATGATTACCGTGGCATATCAAAAAAACCAAATGCGATTTTTCATGAATATATAGACTTAAATACTGGTATGGTTAATATGGGTGTCTGGGTAATATCCGGAATAGGAAAAATTAAAAAAGGCTCTGAAATCTTAGTTAGCTATGGTAAAGGATTTTGGAAGGAAAGGTCAAAAACTTGATTATAATAGAAACATTTGATGATTTGATTTAATTTGATTTATATTTTTAATTTTATGTCTTGGCATTTTTTTGCCAGGATCTTTTACTATGATAAGTGAAGAAGCTTTTAATTTGAAAAGGAGGTTAGGAAATAAATTTTTCTAGAAACTTCACTCATGATGAAGTCAATGAAAATTCTATCTTGCTCTATGCCAGAAAAATATTTGATGAGTTTATTCATTCCTTCTACTGAATGATAATTATATGACACAGGTAATCCTCCTGTCTAAAAAATGGATAGACAAAATTTTTATAATTTTTCCTTATATACACAGACAGACTCGATAAGTCAGCCCGCAGTAATCAATTGTTTAAAGTACTCAATAGTATAAATTATGCGGCTGACTTATCGAGTCTGTCTGTGTATATTATTTTATTAATATTAAATTTATCAATATGAAATAAGGAAATCAATTCTCTACACAACATTATTCAGTTTATTAATTGTCCGTGTGATGAACCTGGTATTTTGGGACCATTTTATGATTTCAATTTATATATTAGTAAGAGGCAAGAAAAATGTGAGACTAAAAAATTTTATTTGCAAGTCACCTCCAATTCAGGTATTTTATTTATTGAACGTGTCAAATAGTTAGTTATTTGAATTTTTACTTAACACAATACCCTATCTTTTCTTTTTGTCTACTGGTCATATAACTACCCCTCACATTTAGCAATTATTTATTTATTTATGTAAAATTTTTTATAAATATTTACTGATATAATATTTGTTTATTTAAAGCTATAAGTATAAATAATTGGTACCTTGACCGTAGGATGAAAAGTGAGAAGATCAAATCATATCTAAAAACTATATGTATTGATGTTGGGATTGATGTTCAAGATCGGAAAATAGTTAATCATTCAAGACGTAGCCTGTTTGACATGGCTGTTTCAGAGTGGACTAACTGAAAAACAAATTATGGATGCAAATCATTGAAAGCATTATCAGTATATATAAACCAACTTTTAATCAAAAATCATTAAATATAAAATCATCAATAGATTTTAGCATTAGATACTAACAAGTCAACTGATATTAATGAAATAAACAATCAAGCTGTTAATAACAAGAACGCAGTAATTATTGATTTAAAAGATTCTTATGAATTGCCAAAAGAAAATGATGTTTCTACAAGCAAAATTACTCAAGTAATTGAAGGTTCATCTATGGATTTAAATTCTGAGATAATTAACAAATTAAATATTAATAATGATAAACTTATTGATAATTCCAATTCAAATTGTAGCAAAAGGATGGGAGTAAGTATTTTATTATTATTATTATTATTAATGCATTATACCACAAACACATAAGGTGGCAAAATGCTCACACTGTTCCATATTTTGTCACGTTATTATTAAAATTATTATCTTTTAGGGTATCAATAAGATTGATAAACATTATTCGAATAAACCCATTCAAAAGACTCAAATTACTTGATTCTGCTAATAATTATGTAGAGGTTGGAATCGTCCAAAAAATCCTTAGTCAACTACTAGTTGATCAAAAATTTCTTTAGTCGACTAAATTTTTTTTTATAATAATAATAATAATATTTAGTTTTTTTTTTTTAATTTGAAAATTACGAATTCATTTCCATTTGAATCTTTCACTTTTTCAAAATGCTTCCATGTGTTACGATTCGTTTTTTAAAGGTCTTCTGGAACCACCGCTTAAATCATTGGAACTTGAAACCAATGAACTATTGGACCTTGTATTGGAAGTGTTTATTCATTCGCATGTAAAATTATTGTCATCATCACCATATTGATGGTATTGATACTCTTTCGCATAGAAATTTTCCATTCTGAATGATAAAACACGAAAATCGTAATTGGTCAGACAATAATAATATTAGCATAGTATTAGTATTAGTATTAGTATTAGTATTAGTATTAGCAGTATTAGTAGTCGACTATTAGTTGTTCAAAAAAAAGGTTTACTCGACTAAAATAGTCAACTAATTAGTCGATTCCAACCTTATAATTATGATAACAGAGAAAACAAACTGTAATTAAGAAAATATCATATAAAAATTGGAACTTTATTATTAATAATACTAATATTTGCTTTATCTATTAATTACTAAACCAAAAATTTATTGTTATTATTACTATTAAAAAAAATTTTTTTTTGTAAACATTCCATAATTTCCACAGACGTTCCATAATCTCCACAGACGTGCCATAATTTCCATAGGTATGCCATAATTTCCATAGGTATGCCATAACTTCCATACTCTGAGTTTAAAAATGCAGTAATTGAAATTTCAGAATGCCAATTTTCTTTGGCAGACATACAATAACTACCATTTATCAGGTAGGTATCAGATACCTATACTTCCTATAGGCAATATCCTTTTTTCGCGTGAAAAACATATTGACCTAGAGATCAGGTACCTGATAACAAGAACATAACTCAATACAAATGAAGTTTGTTTGCTGAGTGTTAATGGGCAAGCCTATATCAATCAGGTGAAACAACAACAAACAACGATGTATTGCAATATATGTGATAGAGAAATCGTAATATATAGAATTACCCGTTTTCCCCATACGTTCTTATAATTTTCTTCCAATAATAAAAAAATGAAAGATAAATAAAAGCAACCAACTAAATACAAAGTACCAATTAACAATCCGTTAATAAGTCCTCTCAATCAAGTAGAAGCATTCAAGCAGATTTTGACAAGGCACTGATAATACAATCAAGATCAGAGCTATTTTCCACATACATTCTACAAGGAATATGACTTTCTTCAGTTTCCTTGGCTGCTTCTCTAATATCTTTCATTGTATTATACAAATCTCTTGTTTTTTCATAGAGTTCTTCAAATGATGGCTCCTTATCATAATCTTTAGGTGAGTTATCATACCCCAAGTCAATACTATTATTGTCCAACCTTCCTTTTTTATTTAAATTTTCATGTGAATCAAAAGATTTATTTTCTTGTTCATTTTCAAGTTTATGTTTCTTGTTTGTAAGGGCATCAAGTTTTCTAATTTCATCGCAAGCAATGGCAAATTCTTCTGTTTCAATGATCTGAAGTGTGCCATCATTTGATTGGTTGTTATTATTGTTTTTGTTATTATTCTTACTACTACTACCGCTATTATCATCTATTATCGATGTATTGTTAGCTTGAGCAATCGAAGAAGAAGGTGTCACTAATGATATAGAAGTATTATGACTTAATTGTTTGATGCTTGGTTGAGAAATTGTCGATGGTTGAGTTTGTTGAGGTATGGAAACATTATTTATATTATTATTATTTGTTGATTGCTGTTGAGGTTGTTGAACAACTGTTGTTTGATTAATTTGTCTTTGTGTGTCCGTTGGTAAATCAGAAGGAGTAGGAGTTATAATTGAACGAGAATTTAATTGAGTATTTAAGACTGGTCTTAAATATAATGCAGTATGATTACGAGCAACAACAGGTGTATTTGTAGAACTCATAGTATTTTGATTGTAATTATTCGAAGAATGTATAATATTGGGTCCTTGTATCAGTTGTTGTGGTAGTTGTTGTTGGTGTTGAGCTTGGGCCATTTGATCTAATTATTGTTGAGTTATCATTGTTAGTATGAGTTTTTGATTGTTAACACCCGTTCTTGCATATACAGTCCCCGGCGAAAGTAATGGCGGTACAATGAAACATTATTTTTGCTAAGTTTTTATTAAGTAAATCGATCTTTTTATATTAAATAAAGTTGTTCACAATGAAAAATTCTACATATCCTAAAATTTTTATGAAGTTTAGAGAAAATTTTTTGATGTGTTCTTGCACTTTACATTTGTGTAAAAAAATTTGATTTTTCTATTTCGTAAAAGCGTAAAATATAAAAACATATTAAATTTTTTTATCCAAACTTCATAAAATTTTTAGGATACGTGGAATTTTTCATTTCGAATAATTTTATTTAATGTATAAAGATTCATTTACTTAATAAAAAAAAAGTTTAATAGAAAAATGAAATTTAAAAAATTTTTAAAAAAGCCAAAGTTCCGATTTTTTTTAATGCTCAAATTAGATTCAAACCGGGATTGAGAAAGGAGGAAAACGTTTTATACTATAAGCTTTTAAAAGCATAATGTTTTACTTGGAGGCGTTTTTGAAAATAAAATTTTATTGATAGTTGCTTATTAAAAATTTTAGTTTTTAAAAAAATTATCACCGCTATTACTTTCGTCGGAGACTGTATATTAGTAGTGGAGACCAAAATGAATTGATGTGTATAATTAGTGGTAGCAGTCAATAATAAATTATATAATTTATAATTATAATTTTATGTACACTAGACATAGTGCTTCCTACACATGAATGTGCTTAGTTAGTACACTCGGTGTACTTAGCGACACCTGTAGCTATCCTGGGTGGGAAGATGCAAGATACTTTTGTTGACATGGTTCTATATGGGGCTGTATTCTGATACAAATATTTTACGTCAATGAATGCTCTCCCGAGTTGGGAAAACTATTCAAAACAGAAATAATAAATGATCGGTAAATCTTTAGATAACAAAGTGCAATCTCTTCTAATATCACGGGATACAGATATGATAATGAATTAACATGTTATAGTATGGTATGCGAAGAAACTTCTTTTCTGAAGCACATCAGAAGAAATTTGGCATCAGTACTTTTCACAAAAATCGCACATTATGCCCAAACAAAAAAAAATATAATTGAAGTTGAAATTTTAGTACTCGGATCGTGTGCACTATAGAAGGAAAATAAGAAAACACTGAAAATAGTCATTTCTCCAGTAAATAAATGGTCTCCTAAATTTTTAATGATTTCTGTCATAATTTGATATTTATAAAGTCCATAATGTACATATATATATATACCATAAAACTCTTTCTAAAATTTATGATTGTCACATAAAAAAATATAAATATTTATATCATAATTTAAATAAGACAATATTAATAATCTATATACAAAATACAAAAAAATTACAAAAGATTAAAAAAAAAACCTTTAAATGTTAATTAAATGTTAAATAAATCATAAAATCATTGTTGTAAAAACATTTCACCCAAAAGAAAAAATCGATTGTAACAATTAATCATAATTTATTGTTTCAAGTCCATATATAATTCACCGCTAAGTTCAGCTTTCTTTCTATTAATTTCAGCTTTCAATTCATCCAATGACGCTTTTAAAGTTTTAACATCATCAATTTTGCGCCTCCTGGTTGCATCTTGAATATAACCTAGAACCAATTTTTCTTGTTGTTGTAAAACTTCCAATTGTTCATCTAATTTTTCTCCTACTTTTTTAACTGATGAATTAGAAAACGAACGAGTTCTGCCATCAACGCCGTTATTAGCAGAAAATACTGAAAAAACAGACGACGATTCATCGTCTTCAGAATTCCCATTTCCCTTACTGCTATTATTCTTTCTTTTAAACATTTGGGGTAATACAGAAAGTGTCAACATATTTTGATGAAGATATTGACTTGCAGCCAAATGAATATTTAATTGTAAACGTTTTACAGATTCAGATTTTGGTGTTAAGGTTTTAATTTCTTTGCTGATCGCGTCAAATTGAGCAAAATTATCCAGTAATTCTTTACGTGTTTTTGCTGCGACTTGATAATCAGCGTGTGTTTGATTAACTATTTCTTGGCTCCTTTAAAAGAATGAGAAAATATATATGAATAAATATTTTTTAACAAAAATGTAATATCTAAAATCAAAATATAATAACAAATTTACTTTAACATGACTATCATGTCCTGAAATTTTGGCAAAGTCAAATCAATTGCGGATCTGATTTTTGTCAATTTCTAATTAACCAATTAATTGAAATTATTTATATGTTCGTTTTAATAAATAAAAAAGTAATTGATTTGTTGATTGAATGATTTTTTATAAAATCCAAATCACCTGATAAAGCATTATCACAGGAGGAGTCTTTGAAATTTCTTCATTATATTCTTTTCGTCTATACAAATGTATGATATGATATGATGAATAAAAATTTAAAATTTCTTTTTAAAATATCAATTATTATTGATTGATCTGAATAATCACCTAAGTACAGCTGAACGACATTTTTTACAAACTCTAACTTCACCAACAGAAATTTGTTCTGATGAATCTTTCAAAAATAAAAATATATAATTAAATGTCATATTATATAATGCCAATCATTCTTGTAAACTAGAAAAAATAAATTTTACATACTTGTATAATTAGTTAAATTCAAAGAAATTTTTGAAGAACATTTCTCACAAATGACACAACCACACAAACGACAATGATGTTTACGATTGGTTATTTTTCCAAAATAATTTCTATATTTATAAACATACAAATGTGTGTACAAATAAATATATATGTAATATACACAATATAAAATCATCAAAATAAAGAAATTAACCACATACCCACAGAGTGGACAATTAGCCACTGACGCGTCATCTTCCC